TTTCGGCAATTCACTATTTAATCCACCTAGTGAACAGTAACTGCCCTTAATAAATAGTGCATTCCCCTGGCAATTGCCTTTTGCATCTCCACCCCTGCACTGAATAGCCCTGGCAATTGGCAATAAAATATTAGTATTTTTTTATTTATAAAATAATACATAATAATTTTATTTGTAATTTCGGATAAGATTTTTAATCGTTCTCGTTGCGCCACGTGTCATTATCCGAAAAGCCAATAGCAATAAAATTTTTGTATTTTTTTATTTATAAAATAATTCAAAATAATTATATTTGTTATTTCGGATAAGATTTTTAATCGTTCTCGTTGCGCCACGTGTCATTATCCGCAAAGAAAATTATTGGTGATGGATTTCCGATAAGATTTTTAATCGTTGTGTCAAGGCACGTGTCATTATCTGAAAAGACAATTATTGGTGATGGATTTCTGATAAGATTTTTAACCAATCACATCGTGCCACGTGTCATAATCCGATTACAATCTTTGAGGATAGATTTCCACCAGATTTTTAACGAATGACGGCATGCCACGTGGCATTATCTACAACCTAATCCCTTCTGAATCCTCCATATAATCCCCCATCCATCCTCATAAATCTCACACCAATTTTCTCAAGATCTCTATCATTATTCATAGTTTCTGCTTCCTTCTTCGCCAAAATCCCTATCATTATTCATAGTTTTTTCTTCCTTCTTCACCAAAATCCCTATCATTATTCATAGTTTCTGCTTCCTTCTTACAATGTCTTCTTCTTCTTCTTCAAAGATGATGTGGGAAATCGAGCAAGAAGAGGAAGAATTGTTTAACCAATCACAAGGAATGTTCAATGTTGGGGATTGGGCCCAAAATGAGATGGAAGAGGATGACGAGCGTAGACGGAGAGATGACGAATCAAGAATGGCAGGAGCCTCACAATCCCGTCGAGTCGTCCAAGCTGTGGCTCATATCTGCAGGCCCAACCGTGCTGTAAACATTGATAGAAACAGGCAACGACGAGGTCAGGAGCTCTTGGACGATTATTTTGTCCGTAACAGTGCATTCCCTGATACATACTTCCGACATCGTTTTAGAATGGAACGACATTTGTTCAACAAAATCATGGGCGCTGTTTGCAACCATGATTCTTACTTTGTGCAAAAGCCGGATGCTTTTGGTGCTATGGGTCTCCTGCCTCAGCAAAAAATTACTGCTGCCTTGCGGATGCTTGCATATGGAGCAGCTGCAGACCAAGTGGACGAGATAACGAGGATGGGACAATCAACCATTCTTGAGTCCCTCATGAGGTTTTGTTCGGCAATCGAATCTATCTACACCGCAGAGTACCTCCGGATACCTACTCATATGGACTTGCAAAGGCTTCTGAAGAAAGGCGAGATGCGAGGTTTTCCAGGGATGATTGGAAGCATTGATTGTATGCACTGGACTTGGAAAAACTGTCCAAGTGCATGGCAAGGCGCTTATGGGGACAGAAAAGGATCAAAAAGTATCATTTTGGAGGCGGTGGCATCTTTTGATACATGGATTTGGCACGCCTTTTTCGGGGTTCCGGGAGCTCAAAATGACCTCAACGTCCTTGCCCAATCCCCAGTGTTCAACGATGTCCTGCAAGGAAAGGCACCAAAAGTCACGTATGAGGTCAATGGACGTATGTACGACGGGCCATACTACCTAGCTGATGGCATTTACCCAAGGTGGTCAACATTTGTCAAAACAGTGCCACGTCCGCGCAGTGCAAAGGAAAAAACACTTTGCAAGATGTCAAGAAGGGTGCAGGAAGGATGTGGAGCGTTGTTTCGGTATCCTCCAAGCTCGCTGGGCGATCATCAGGGGTGCTGCCAGATTGTTTGATGTAGAGTCGCTTCGATCCATCATGATGACGTGCATCATTCTTCACAACATGATTGTGGAAGATGAGTACGATTATGAAGCCGTTGATGAATATGAGCCAGACACGATGAACAATTCAAGAACACGTATATATTGTGCTCATGACGCCACCGATGAGCCCGTGCAACATGAGCCATTAGAAAGGGATGGACGTTACAATGAAAGGATCATCCAACGATATACTGCACTTCAAAGGTCAAATATGCACAATGCCCGCCAACTTGACTTGATAGAGCACCAGTGGGAATTGAGGGGTGCTGACGATACTTAAGTTCATTAGTGTTTGTTTTTATTTGGTGTGTTTATTTTATTTTATGTGGTGTGTTTTTTTAGTTCATTTAGTGAGTTGAAATGTAATTTTATTTTATTTGGTGTTTGTTTTTATTTGGTGTGTTTATTTTATTTTATGTGGTGTGTTTTTTTAGTTCATTTAGTGAGTTGAAATGTAATTTTATTTTATTTGGTGTTTGTTTTTATTTGGTGTGTTTTTTTGGTGTGTTGATGTTATTTTATTTGGTGTGTTTAAATGTGTTTTGAATAAAGTACTAAGTTCAATAAATTGGAAACAACATAAAGTACTCTATTCAATGAATAAGAAATTACAACCCGAATAAGAAATTACAACCCGAATAAGAAATTACAACCCGAATTGATTGGAAAATTATGGGTTCGTGAATGGATGATAACCATCACCTAACCAATTTGTGGTGCTAGGATGATCTTCTCTTGTCATGCTAGGATAATCTTCTCTTGTGGTGCTAGGACCATCTCCTCTTGCTCTCGCTTCTCTTGCACGCATCCTTCGCACCACATCCGCTTTCTCTGACTTCCAAAAATATTTAGAGTCTGGAGACTTCCCTTCTAAAGGCTCCTTCATAATGTCACGATCTCGTTCAGCCATTCTTTCTTCTCTTCTATGTTCCCTTTCTTGCCGAAGTAGTTCTCTTTCTCTCTCATCAGCTTCAAATTTTCTCTCAAAAGCTGCAGCTTTTGCATCCTCTCTAGCCTTATCAGCCTCAAATTTAGCCATTTCCCGGGCCAAATTCAATTCACCTTGGCGGGCAAGATCTTCCATATACTTTGCATAATCATTCTTGGAAGCATTACCTTTTCTCTTTGAAGCCTTCTTACCTTGAGGCCTAATTGGATAACGGGTCGACCCCGACGCTTGTTCAACGGGGGGCGTTTCAAGCACTTCTTCATCATCTTCATCATGATCATGCGAGGCATGCTCAGGTGTAGAGTGTAGAGGGGTGCTGTTCATGAAAACTTCTGGACCGACATGCACAACTCTAATTTAGGACAATCTTTGACAATATTCCAACATTCAAACCGGGTGAATGTTTTGTTTTTGCTTTTGGTTTTGGCACCATACCAAGCTTGTGCTTGAAGTTCCTACACAAACAAATAATTATAATGAGAATAGGTAACAAATAAATAATTATAATGAAAGTATGTAACAAATAAATAATACAAACAAATAATTATAAATGAAAGTAGCTAACAAATAATTATAATGAAAGTAGGTAACAAATAAATAATACAAACAAATAAATATAATGAAAGTAGCTAACAAATAATTATAATGAAAGTAGCTAACAAATAATTATAATGAAAGTAGGTAACAAATAAATAATACAACCAAATAATTATAATGAAAGTAGGTAACAAATAAATAATACAAACAAATAATTATAATGAAAGTAGCTAACAAATAATTATAATGAAAGTAGGTAACAAATAATACAAACAAATAAATATAATGAAAGTAGCTAACAAATAATTATAATGAAAGAAGATAACAAATAAATAATACAAACAAATAAATATAATGAAAGTAGCTAACAAATAAATAATATATTGTTACCTTATCCGTTAAATTTTCCCCACTTCGAAGATTACCACTAGCTTGTGCCAAGGCGTCTCTCCACGTACTAAACGATTGACTAAGTAATTTCCAACGACTGGACATCGATTCTTTAGTTCTTTGCCCACCCATTTTCTCAAGATAATTGGTATGAATAAGACTCCACATTTCTCGCAACTGCATCTCATTACCCGTAATCGAATCATGAGTAACTTGAACCCAACTAGTACACAACGCAACATCTTCAAGAAGCGTCCAATTCGTACCTTGTTGAGTAGTCATTTTGTTGGAAAAAAATTGGATTGAAACTTTGAAAGAAAGATAGGAATGTGGTTGAAAGTAGTTGAGAAAATATGAAATTGTGGTGTAGGGTAGAAGATAATGAGAAGGTATTTATAGGTGAAGTGAAATCAAATTTTTTTATAATTTTTCATAATTTTTTTTCGGATTTTTAAGAATTTTTTTACATTTTTTTTAAATTTTTATTCACCTAATTAATCTTTGCCGTTGGATTTAAAAAAATTTAAATTCCAACACTCCAGATTGTGCCACGTGTCACAACAGTAACATTTTAGATTTTTAAACAGTTTTTTCTTTTTTTTATATATAATTTACAAAGCCTAATAACGTGAACCGTTGATTTTAGATCAAACAGATGAAATTAAATGAGATTTTTAAATGTTTTTTACCGTTGGAAATCCAACGGTCCATAAAATATGACCGTTTCAATCGAACAGACATGGGGAAGCCACGTGGCTTCCCCAACGGTTACTTTTCAAAACTGAAATCGCGGGCCCCAGCCCTGTTTTTTTGTCAGACGACTCGCGCCCACGCGCGCGTGAAACGCACGCGCCTGACGCAACCCTCGGGCTCTCGGGCTGGCAATCCTCGACGGGCCTGCTCCTCGGGCCTCGCCTGTTGCTCGGGCTTCCATACGCTGGAGCTCATCCCCCCAGCAATTTGCTACTGTTTGATCCACAGCCCCCGAGCAACCTCCCCCGAGGTGCTCTAAAGGACCCCTTTGTATTAAAAAAGAATAGCAGATCACTTTAGACCATCTCCAAAGATGATGATTAAAATATAAAATTTAAATTTAATAACTTACGTGGTAATTTTATATTTTTAAAGTTTTGCTCTCCATACAATATGCAAATTTTAAAAGAAATCGAAGTATTATAAAACAAATTTAAAAAAAGAATCCACGGATTAAGTTGAAGAAAGAACGAGAAGAGATCGAAGTATTATGAAACGTTATATGTTAGACACAAGTACAACCTTGTGGTTTTACATTAATTCACTGTTTCGATTGCTTATACTTTGTTCATGGCGTAGTTTTTAAGCTTTATGTGTTGCATAGTTGATCTCCAAATTTTTCTTGTGTGTTTCTGTTTAAAGTGCAAGTGAGTGCATTTCATAAGGGCCAATTTGATTACGATTTTGTGTTTAGTTTTTTTATATATTTTTGTGTTAGAAATAGAGGAAAAATTTAGGGGAGAAATGAGGGATATATAAGTGATGAGGAAGAATGGTGTGAAGGAAACGCACACAGAACGAATATATTTTTGAGGCTTTATATCTTGCACTAGTTCTTAAAATTTTGATTCTTTGAGTTTTGTTGTATGTTTTGATATTTGTGATATTTGATCTTTTGGTAGTAGTTCAAGTCGACCCTTTCTAGCAGTACAGTTAATTGTCACAGCTTTATGGATCTCCAGCCATGAAATTCACTTGGACAATCGAAAACTTTACTAGGCTGAACACCAAGAAACTCTACTCTGATATCTTCCTCGCCGAGGATTATAAATGGTATGTTTACCATTTCAACTACATGTTAAAAGCTGAAATTTCCTGTGTTTGTTCTTTTTATCTTGGTGACTGGATTCTGATCAATTGCTTTGGTTTGTCTGATCAGGCGGGTACTAATATTTCCCAAGGGAAACGATGTAGACTTCTTGTCCGCGTATTTAGATGTGGCGGATTCTGAGTCATTGCCATATGGGTGGAGTAGAATTGCGGATTTCAGCTTGACTGTAGTTAATCAGATTCACAGAAAGGATTCAATGAGAGAGAGTATATTATTCTTTCCTTCTTTGTTATTCTCTTCGGTTCAAATGTCTCTTAGCTTTTTTTTTTTATTGATTCCTTAATATGATTTTTTTTTTTTTTTTTTTTTTTTTTGTGCAGCCGGACAAGAGAAAGTGACTGGGGATTCACACGTTTAATATCTCTTGCTGTGCTTTGTGACCCATGCTGGGGTTTTCTGCTGAATGATATAGTCGTAATTGAAGCCGAGGTTGCTGACAACCTTACTTTGAAAAGGTTGTCTGCTGCTGAGGAACTACTGAAATCCACTTTGGCCAGTGCACCATCGGCCGAGGCTTTGGCTGCGTTAGACACTGTGAGCCTCTATTCTAGAAGCAGCCTAGCCACTCTCTGCTCAGATGCGGCTTACGAGGAGTTCACTTCCATGTGGGCACACAAAGAGCACTTCCATGTGGGCACACAAAGCTAATTTTCTCGTTCACCCACATGCCATGAACTTGAGGTGAAGATTGTTTACGATTGTTAGAAGAAGATAAATTTCCGCTGCCATGAAGAAGAATAAAGAGAAGAAAAGTGTGTGATTTCAATGCCTTGGAGGAAAGAGATTAGAAGAAGAAAAAAGTTTTGTCAAGGTAGGATACATTTCCAATCATGAAAGATTTTGGGTTTTGTTTTATTTATTTATTTTTTTAATTTAGTTTAGTTATGAGTTTGAGGAAGAAAATAAAGAAAAAAAAACAACAAGAATGAAAAAAGAATTACAGGAAAAAAATATTTGGTGGTTGGGGCTTTCAAAAAGAGACGTTACTTTCAGTTGAGCTTTCAAAAAGATTAGCGTTTGTTTCAACTGGGCTTTCAAAAAGAGGCATTGATTCCAACATATCAAGAGATTTATATATCGGGCTTTCAAAAAAAAGACGTTAGTTCCAATTGGGCTTTCGAAAAAAATAACGTTAGTTCAAGTTGGGCTTTCGAAAAGAGGCGTTAGTTCCGAGGATTATGATGTGCTCATCGGGCTTTTGAAAAGAGACGTTTGTTCTAATTAGGCTTTCGAAAAGATTGGCGCTAGTTCCAAATGGGCATTTGAAAATAGGTGTTAGTTCTGACGAATTGTGATTTGCTGAGTTTTCGGAAAGATTGGCGTTAGTTACAACATGTCAATGAAGATTTCCTCCTTGGAAAACTCATGATTTCACATCATGAGGTTGAGGGGTGATGGAAAATAAAGAGGAAAATATTTTAGGATTTGATTTAATTAGGGTTTTCATATAATTTGATTTGGTCTAGGTTTCCTTGTCTTGTAGACAAATCATTGTTTTGATTTAGTTCTTAGTATTGCTCATTTGTAATCTTATAAATACCTCATTATGGAGAAGAATAAAGTATCAAAGTTGTATTTGAGAATTGTGAGATTATAGAGAACTCTAAATTTATCCTAAACACTTTATTTTCAACTTTTGTATCATCTCTTTCTTCTTGGAGGTGACGATTTTAACAGGGTACAACAACACAATTTGAATTTAACACCAAATTAGCGAGTTTGATTGACCATTGCTTGACAATTTGACGTGATACAAATTGTTTTTTTTTTTTGAACAAACGATATTATCTTCACTAATGGCGTGTTTACTAAACCGGAATGGAGGTAGAAGAATGAGAATTGAATTCTTCCCCAACTGATTCCCACGTTTACTAAATTTTGGGAATGAAAATATTCGTGGGCTCCACCCAAAATCAGTAATCAGATTCCTAATATTGCCGGAATCCAATTACTAACTTGGAGGAGGTATTTGAATTCCGAAAGAAGGCCAACTTCCGGAATCAAACTTCTCTACCGAAATTAGTCTGCCCCTTTCATCACGATTCAACCATGAAAAGCACACTCATCGCCACCCCTTAATCAACTCACACCACCGCACCACCTCCTAGACTGCCAAGACCCACCACCAACCGACCCAACAGTTCTACCAACAAACTCCCGATAGCCGCAGATCCAATTCCAGTTGTGGAGAGACAGATGCAGAGGAGTATATAGATAAAAGCAAACCTTATGATTTGCACACTGAGAATCGAATTGGAAAAATGGCAACTTGACTTACAGTTTGGTTTTTTTTCCCAATTCGATTGCAGACATTTTTACAGATAGCATTGAGCGGCTGACAAGGGGTTGTGAAATCCAAGAATGGTTGCCAACAAGGAGTTCATCGTTTACAACTCGATGACCCGACAGAAGGAGAGTAAAGAACAGAACAAGGTCAAGAGATGATGGCAAAAACCAATTGAGGATGCAGATGGGGGAGAGTAAAGAAGGTTGTGGTGGAAATGGAACTGTGAAGGTTCCAGAACCTCTCCCGACTCCTGTTATTTTTGTTGTTGGGTTTTTTAACTTTTTTTGTCGAATGAGTTTTTTACTCATGAAAGAGCAAAAAGTGAAAGAAAAAAAAAAGAATTCAAGTTTTATTAAAAATAACAAACACGGGAATCGTTAAAATTTCAAATAATTTTTTTTCTTACTATTATATATTACATCAAATTTTATTAAAAAAAAGTATATAAAATATTTGATTTGGGACTAGGGCATTTTAGTAATCATACTAGTTTATATTCCGATTCTGTTAAATTAGTAAACAGCTTTATAGAAATAGTATCATTTCTATTCTAATTCCAGAACATTTAAGTAAACTGCTTCAACAGGAATCCGATTCTGAATCCACCTCATTCCAATTCCTCATCAATTCAATTCCCCTCAATTTGATTACGAATTAGTAAACGCGCCCTCAGTATGTACATCACAATTCCTACCTTTGAAAGAATTTTCTATTCAAGCATAAACTTGGAGGCACTGCTCCTTGTTCCTTTTGTGATTCATACTTCTCATTGTGTCTGAATTTTTACTTTAGGTCCGACACTGAAGTTTTCAAGTTTATGAACGAATGATGTATGCTCATAACTGTCAATTTCTCTTTCGACATTGGAATGTAAAAAGTTGTTAATGAATATTTCGATAATCATTTTGTTTTCAGTATTGGATAAGGCATTTTAAATGAAGTTATTATTGTAAAAAAAAAAAGGTTGATGGGCAGTTATAAACATTGGATCTCAAATTTTGAAATGGTTGATTGTCTTTTGGCTGTACATCAGTGTCAACTAGAGCTAATGATGACTCCTTGTGTTTTACAGGATGGACAACTTAGAGGGGTATCATGTCAGCACAGTGCGGAGCTAAAGTCGTTTTTGGAAGTAGAGTTTGGACCGGTAATCCAGTCTTACTATATTCTTGTTATGACCCGTGTTTTGAGGCTTGTTGTAGTTCCAAGTGCTTTATGAAAACCATAATTTCTTATATTTTCTGCTTGTATAAATTCTCCAGAATCTACGTCCCATTCCTCTTCTTGACAAAACCAAGGAAGATATCCTGCTTTTCTTTAAGCTTTATGAACCTGAGAAACAAGAACTGCGGTATGGCTCTTTCTGCTCATAGTTTTCTTATGATTCATCTTTGCTGATTTAAGGTTCTTTTCTGTTTCCAGTTTTGTTGGCAGGCTTTCCCTGAAGAGTTTTTACAAAGCCAGTAGAGATTTTAACAAAGTTCAATCAACTTGTTGGTTTTTCCCTTGATGATGAACTTGAAATTTATGAGGTGTGTTTCACATTAATTTTGTAGCATCAGTTGTGTCTTATATACGTACATTAGGCCAACTCCAACCCATGGCTTAAAACCTATAATTCCCCTTCTATTCCCCCCAATCCATTCCAACCCAAGTTCTAATTTGGACCTAAAACCCAAAAAAAAAAGCCAAATTTAGGCCAAGATTAGTGGTGGAGCCCACACCCACATGGGTGTGTCTCCCACTTGTCTGCCAATAAAATTGAGCTCAACGGCTCTTTTGGTTGATCAACGGTTCACATTCAAATGAGTTGTTGGTTATCCAACGATCTACGTTTAATTTAGTTAATATTTTTGTTTTATATTTATAAATTTATTGAATCCAACAACTGAGATCGAATATAATCAAATCTAACGGTAAAAAAAAAAGATCTAACGGCCCAAATTTAAATTCAACTATTAAAATAATTATAAAAAGTTATTTAACTCAAAATTCATCCAAAAACTCTATAAATACTTATATATTTGTTGAAACATCCACACAAAACTCACTTTTCGCCTATAATTCTTCTAATTTTTCTTTCTACAATCTTCCAAAATCATGTGTTTGCTCATGTGTCTTGTGTTTATACATCTCTATCATGTGTTTCAAATTCTTCAATAGTGTTTTATGAGTTTCATGTGTCAATTTAGTGATTTTTCAATGTTTATTAGAATTTAAATATTTTTAGGATAAAATGTTCATAAAATTAATTTAGGATAATCTACATAATTTTGTTTTTTAAAAAGTCAATTTAAAAAAAAAAATTTGTTGAGACAAAAATAATCGAGAAAAATATGGAGGCAACACGTGGATTCTAGGGTGAAAAGGTCAAAATTACCCTCAAGGCACATCGGGATTCCTACGTGCGAGCAGTAGGCAATCATCCCTCAACCAAGTCAAAAGTTCCCAAAATAAGTAATAATTCAAAACATATTTCATCTATCCTTATCAAATAATCTCCACAAGGTAACTCCCAAATCATTCATCTTTTATTATATTAATTAATTTATTATTCAATTATTCCTAATTAGCTACAAATCATGAACCTCACCCAAAATACCAACCAAGTGACCGGTCCTCCTCCTCCTAAAGGGGCCGGCCACACCCCTATAAATACTACCTCATTTTCTCCAAAACTCAATTCCAATTCTCTTGCTAAACTCTCTAAATTCTCCAAATATTTTTCCCTCAAAATTCTAACTTTGGCATCGGAGGTTCTTCGGCCAATACCCCTCATTCATCATGGACGCGTGAGGCTCTTGGCCTTGACCTAAGATGTTATTTGTTTTGTATGTGCAATTTTGTCCAAGAGCAAGGATGAAGAAATTTGCATCCACAAAAATTACCCTAAATTCATTATTTAATAATGTGAGCCTAAAATTTTAGGCCATAAGGGTTGGTGCAGAAAAACTATTTATGAGTTAAAACCTAAATTTCCAGAGATAAAATTTTAGGTTTTAGGCCAATGGTTGGAGATAGTCTTTGAATGTACATGTAAGTTTATAATTTGATGCATACTTTGCTGCAGCATTCTTATACATAAACTTACGTATGTGTTTGCGCTACATTCAGGAATTAAAGTTTGAGCCTTTTGTCATGTGTGTAGACCTTGACAAGATGACCTCTTTCGAGTCGAGCCTGGTAATTGTTGCTATATTGCACGCTTGCAATAAGATTTAAGTTTTAAGCTTTTATAGGTCTGTTGCTTTCTTCTCCAGATTGAAGATGGGGACATTATATGTTTTCAGAAATCTACTCCGCTTGAAAT